GGACGAGGAATGGCGGAAAGGTCGGTAGCTGAGGAAGGAGTGGCGGCACGTGGGGGCCCGGTGGAGGCCCATGAATCTATTCGAGCGCGCAGAAGTGCTTGACTGGGCGTGAATTGGTGCCCCGTGAGCTCTTCTGGAGGGGTGGAGGACGGGGATCATTGACCGTGCCACTCGGTCTACGCCGGGGACTCCCTCCCGGACAAGCCGAAGGCCGGTTACTCCTCGCCACCTGTGGACGGCGCCGGCCTTCTGCTACCCATGGGAGATTTCCAACTTGGACCTCTCTAACTGCTCCCCTTGTCAATCCGCAGCCCGGTACGAGGCCGATCAGGTCAACCGCAAAATCAACGCCATCCAGAAGCAAATCGGCGAGCTCATGAAGCAGAAAAGGGCCGACGAGACCGGGGACCTGAAGGCCGAGAAGAACGCGCTGGAGGAGCAGAAGATCCAGCTGAACAAGGACGCCGACGCGCGCGAGGCCGAGCTGTACAAAAAGGCCACGCAGATCGGCAACCTGGTCCACGAGACCGTGCCGGACTCGATGACGGAGGACGATAACGCGCTGATCCGGATGTGGTGGCCCGAGGGGCGTTCGGAGGAGGCGGAACGGCAGCGGAGACTGGAGCTCGTGGGCTCGGCGTCCGTCAAGGACGGCGCCAAGGGCGTGACGGGGCTCAGGAGCCACCACGAGGTGTTTGACATGCTGGACGGCTTCGACAACATCCGAGGTGGGCGGACAGTTGGCCGAATGGCCGGAATCTCCTCTCATTGGAGTTTCGCAACCAGGATCCAAGGTCGCAGGCCACCGCGCCTACTTCCTCACCGGGATCGGCGTGGACCTCAACCTCGCCCTGATCCAGTACGGCCTCAGTTTCCTCGAGTCCAAGGGCTACACCAAGCTCTGGACGCCCTTCTTCATGCGGCGCGAGATGATGTCGCGGACGGCGCAGCTGGAGCAGTTTGACGAGGAGCTTTACAAGGTCGGCGAGGGCGGCAAGGCGGACCCGGACGACGTGGACGCGGACGCAAAGTACCTCATTGCGACCTCGGAGCAGCCCGTCAGCGCGTTCCACGCAAACGAAGTGTTTGCCGACCCGGCCAAGGAGCTCCCGAAGCGGTGCGTTTCGCCGAGCCCTGACCGCCGATACACGATCTCACGCACCCGTTCAGGTACGCCGGCATCTCGACCTGCTTCCGGAAAGAGGCAGGTGCCCACGGCAAGGACACGTGGGGCATTTTCCGGGTGCACCAGTTCGAGAAGGTGGAGCAGTTCTGCATCACGGAGCCGGAAAAGTCGTGGGAGGAGTTTGACAGGATGATTGGCAACAGCGAGGAATTCTACAAATCGGTGAGCATCCCGGCCGGCGGCGATGTTGGTGGAACTAGTGCTCACCTCTTGTAAGCTCAAGATCCCCTACAGGGTCGTGGCGATCGTGTCGGGGGCGCTCAACAACGCCGCGGCGAAAAAGTACGACCTAGAGGCATGGTTCCCCTTCCAGTGCGAGTACAAGGAGCTCGTGTCGTGCTCCAACTGCACCGACTACCAGAGCAGGAGCCTTGACATCCGCTGCGGGACGAAGCCGGTTCGTGCCATCTCCTGCTCCGCGCTGTGCTCGACTGAACCCAGCTTCTGCAGGCCGCCGACGGCTCCCGCAAGTTCGTCCACATGCTCAACTCGACACTGACGGCGACGGAGCGCGCGCTGTGCTGCCTGGTGGAGAACTACCAGACGCCGGAAGGGCTCGTGATCCCCGAGCCGCTGCGGCCGTTCATGGGTGGGAAGGAGTTCGTGCCGTACGTGAGGACGGCAACGTCGGCGGAGCTGAAGGCCGCGACCCAGGCAGGGGGCGCGAAAAAGGTGTGTGGGCGGAGTTGCGGCGCCATGTGGACTGGAGCTGACCTCATGCGCCAGCCGAACGTGGCAAAGGTTGCAGACGGCGTGAAGAACATGAGCGTGAACTAGAATGCTGTACATGATAGAACTATGCTGGGCTCGCCTACATGCTGATACGATTGTTTGGTTCTGATCCGATTGTCGGGGTTGCCAGTTCCTTCCGCCGGGACACGTCATCACTCTGAGATGAAAACGAAACTTTGCCTGCACCTCGAACCGCAGAAACGATGAGCAACCAAGACTATAAGGAGGGCGACAAGGTCGAGTACGTAGCCGTCGGTGGAGGTGGGCGATTGAGGCCTTGCCGCCCTCCCCTGCTCCCTGACTGAGCCCACGTTCGCGAAGCCGAGGGCTCGAAGAGCACGGGAACCATAACGCAAGGTGCTTCCTACCGCGCAACGCTGCATCGGAGATCTTGAGCCGGTCGGACCTGACGCTCTTTGGTGAACCAGTCACGACGAAGGGCGATGACGATTCCGAGTTGCGCTTCACCATCAAGAATGACAACACTGGCAAGGAGACTACGCAAGTTCGGTGCACAAGTTGTAGCGATTGCAACTGATCTTCCATTCTACAACCAGCTACAAGGGGAGCTCTATTCAGAGAAAGGTCGAAGATTGAGCACGACCTGCTGGCGTAGAAACGAGTGCCATTTTGATCCTTGATCTTTGCTATGTTCCATCCTCTATCTTGACACCGTGTTGAAGAAGCTGTACAGAAGAGCAAAAGACGATCGGCTCATCACGTGAACATGTTGTCGAATTCTGGTGTCAGGGGCCGGGGATCAGAAACCAGGCGTCCGGCGAGAACGCGGCGCACGCTCACCTGGCGGCGGCGCGTCATCATTGTCCGGCTCCCCACTTGCCGTCCAATCAGCCTCGCGACACAACGGCTCCCTCATGCAAAGGCACTCACGGCAAAGTCCTTCCCGGCCCCGGTCCCGTCCCGCCGAGGCTACGACCCGGTCCGGGGAAAGATCCCGGAGGCATCGGCCTTCCCCCGCTTCCACCTTCCGTCCCAGGCGGAGCCCCAGGCACGATGGGATCGAACCTCGCGCCCGGCGGGACCGCTCCCGGCGGCAGCCTCGTCCCTCCGGGCCCCGCGAGCGGACCCGGCTCCGGGTACGGGAATCCGGGCTCCGGGTAGCCGAAGCTGCCGCCCATCGGGTCGCGCCGGCCGAACATGGGATCGTTGGGGCCGACGAACATGCCTCCGCCCCCGAAACCCGGCGGACCGCCGCCCATGGGGCCATATCCGCCGCCGGGAAGCCGCAGGCCGCCGGGTCCGGGGTATCCTCCCGCGAAAGGATCGAGATCGCGTGAGCCGATGCCGCCGAACCGCGGACCGTAGGCAGGGCCGGGTAGGTACGGCGGGGGTCTGCGAGGGTAGTCGGGGATGCCACCGCCGATCGGGTAGGGAGGAGCCACAGGCCGCGGCCGCGGTTGCGCGCTGCTGGACGTACCGGTCGCAGGTGGTCTGAATGGCGACATCATCATTAGCGAGCCAAGAGGGCCAAAACCAAGAGAAGAGAATGCCCACTCGACCGCGGTTTCCTCGTATCCTTCCTTCTGGAGGCCCGGTGCGATGCGCTGCACAATCTGGATCTTGAAGAGGTTGAGCATGTCCTGCAGCGACTGAGCGGAACGGAAGTAGGCGAGAAGCGGAGAGTCGGAGCCCGGAGCGCGAGGCGCCGAGAGTACGGAGGGCGTGACAGGGTACGTTGCCGCAAGAGGAGGAACGAGGTGGGTAGAGATCGGGATCTCGAAGGACCGGAGCTTCCCGTCCTGGCAGAAAGTGGAGCTGTGGACATGTCCAAAGAGAGCCGGCACATAGATCAAGCCTACCTCGACCGCCATGCCGTGAACGAGGATCCTGTCGGCCATCCGCAACGACTTGACGAGGAATGTCAGCGAGGACTGGGGATGCCGGTACCGAAACGCGTAGGCCGCCTGAGTGTTCCATCCTGCGGGCATCGTTGGGTCTAGGTTGGCCGGATAACGGCATTGCGACGTGACAGGGGAGGTTAAAGGACGCGTCAGATGGTGGATCTGGCGGGAGATGGGGCGAGAAGGCGACCCGACCTTGCTCGGCGCCGCTGTCTCCCGCTTGCGCAGCAGCAGCCCCAGCCGCTCCGGGCTCGCCCTCCTCGCCAATGCCGATGCAGCGGAACCCAAGCGCGACCATGGCTGCATGAAGCACAGCGGCCACGAGCTCCGTCTGGGTCCTCGGAAGGGCGTCCTGCGGCGCGCTTCCCAGGGCCCTCTCCGCGAGCGACAGCACGTTTGCATAGTGCAGCGGGTCCGCGGGACGCGAAGGTGCCGATGAAGGCTGCTGCGACGGCGCGTCGCTGTCCCCTCCGGTCGGCGCGGGAGGCTCCGAAGGCGCGTCGAACGACATCGTGACTTCGTTGGTGGACGGTGATGAATCGCCGTTCCAAAGACCGCGCTTGCGGACGGGGCCTGACCCCGTGAATCCGAAGTACTTTTACGCAAATCAAGAGCCGCTGAGCTTTGGATGCGCTGGTAGGACGGGTTCTCGCTGTCCGGCGGCGGTGGCTTCTTCATCTCCAGGTGTCATGCGCAGTCACGGAAGTAGGCTTTCGGCCCCATTAGCGCATGCTGTCGAGATTCAGGTGCTGCGGACAAAATTGGGAAGCTGATACTACGTGAGATGCGTCGGCTGGTGGGGCTGCCGCAGGCCAAAGGACCCATATCCGCCTCGTCCCTGCCCTTCGAAGGAAGGCCCCCTGTCCGAAAAGTCGAAACGCCCCAACACGCTTCTGCGCATCGCGCGAACATCGTGATGAAACTGCATAGGCCCCTGAGAGATACAGTATGCCTACTTTGGCGGCTGAACTGGGGGTTTTGTCCTCGGGAGGCTTTCAATCTTCCCATCACCCACCTCCGACGCCGATCACCTCCCAAACCCACCCACTGCACGATTCCAAGACCCTAGGTGTTGCGGACGGAGCAACGAGGTGTGGATTAGGTTAGGGCAGCGTCGGCACGAGGGCGACGGTGGCCGATCGCACCCCCGGCCAACCCCTCTGCAGAGCGGCCCCAGCCCCCCCGAGGTGCCCATCCACCCTCTAAAGCATCGCCAAACTGTCGGAATGGCGCAGTGGTCTACCGCGGGAGATTAGAATTAGCCTGAATTTGGCGTCGGCCGATCCTAGCTACCCACCATCTCCTCCTCTCTGAGGGCGCAGGTTCGAATCCTGCTTCCGACGAAGTGGTTCCTTTTGCCTTCCTTGCTGTTTTGCACCACGTTCGCGGCGCCGGCCGCACGGCACCCTCCGAGCGCCGGGGCCATCACCTCCACCTGTGCGCCGATGCGACCTCTCCTCGGGCAGCAGGTTCCGAATCCTGCTTCCGACGAAATGGTTCCTTTTGCCTTCCTTGCTGTTTTGCACCACGTTCGCGGCGCCGGCCGCACGGCACCCTCCGAGCGCCGGGGCCATCACCTCCACCTGTGCGCCGATGCGACCTCTCCTCGGGCAGCAGGTTCCGAATCCTGCTTCCGACGAAATGGTTCCTTTTGCCTTCCTTGCTGTTTTGCACCACGTTCGCGGCGCCGGCCGCACGGCACCCTCCGAGCGCCGGGGCCATCACCTCCACCTGTGCGCCGATGCGACCTCTCCTCGGGCAGCAGGTTCCGAATCCTGCTTCCGACGAAATGGTTCCTTTTGCCTTCCTTGCTGTTTTGCACCACGTTCGCGGCGCCGGCCGCACGGCACCCTCCGAGCGCCGGGGCCATCACCTCCACCTGTGCGCCGATGCGACCTCTCCTCGGGCAGCAGGTTCCGAATCCTGCTTCCGACGAAATGGTTCCTTTTGCCTTCCTTGCTGTTTTGCACCACGTTCGCGGCGCCGGCCGCACGGCACCCTCCGAGCGCCGGGGGCAATACCTAGCCCACGCACCCGGCCTCACAGCTCAAGAGACGGCTCTGCTTGTACATGCACCCCGATACTGCACCAACATCGGATGCCCGTTTCTTTCAATTCTCGATGGTGCTTTGGATGCTTGCGGCAAAGATCGGCCGGCCTGTCGATCTCGATCTCCTGCGAGAACGATCGAAGCGCTGCCGGCCGGCCATTGTCCCCACATCCAGTCGTGACATTGATTGGTAACGATCTGGCGGTCTTTATCGTTGTCTCTGTCATCCTTTTCTAGTAATGATCCCTTATCGGTGCCAGCTGGTTTGGTGAGGGCAGGTCCTGCCAGGCAAGGCCAGTGAAGGATCACAGTAAGCGGCTGTCCAGCACCACTTCGAATCCGATGATGGATCCGCAGCTCCGCCGTACTAGCATGCTTGACTTGTCTCAAGAACATCTTTGCGGTCGAGAGCTGCAGTGATGGGCTCGGAAACGAGCAGGTCAAGCCAGCCCAGCATCGATGGCCGCGAGGCAGAAGTCCGTCCCCCAGCATGCAGCCCGCTTCCTGCCCGGGAGCACCGTGGGCCGCTTGTCGCGTTGCCGGACGGACCGCCTCAATACTCCCTCTACCTGGCCCTGCGCTAGCGCAGACGCGTTCGCGTGCCGCGCCGGAAGGCCGCGCGGACACGGGGACCCTACCTCGCGGTAGCCCCTGTCTCCACTCTAACGCGGCAGGCACCCTTTCCCCGAGTTTACGTCCGATTCCCGTGCCATGTGGTGCCTCCTGCCGCGAAAGATTGTCGAGGCGTCTAGTCGCTCTCCAGACGCATGGATCCGTCTCCCAACGATGGTTGGGCTTTGGGCACTGCCCTCCGATGTTGCGATCTCCACACCGTGGTCCGTCCACGAGACCGTAAAGGGACGGCACCTTACACTCTAGCCAATCATTACCTGTGGTCCAACCTGCGACTCGCGAGCCGAGAATTGTTGTCGAATCGGAGTTTCTGTGATGGACGCACGTCCCCCAGCATTCCACTGAGAAAACAACTGCCTGTCGCCCGCTGCGCCGCCCTCGTCGCCTCGATTCTGCCGTGCCGTTTCGAAATGATCGAGCCCGCCATCAAAGTGGCGGCCCAGCAGGCGCCCGGGGCTCCGCCCTTGGCCTCACGGCGCGACGAGGTCTCTGTTCCCAAGATCGCATCTCTCGCGTCCCTGCCTCCGGAAGTCCTTCTGTTGGTCATGGAGAACCCAGCGGGACGGAAGCGCTCGCTGCTGAACCTGCTCTCGACGTGCCGCGGCTTGCTCACGCTAGGGATCGAGGTCCTGCTCCGTCGCCTGGTTGTCGACCCTGACGAACACCGTCCGCTGGAGAAGTGGCGCGGACTGCTCATGGACGGACTCGAACTTCACAAGCTGGAGTACCTCACCGAGTTTCGCGTTTCCATCGCCTCGAGGGATCCGCTCTTGGCGGCGCTGCTGGACAACGCTGCGCCTTCGCTGGCTGAACTTCATATGTGCGTTTTGGATCCGGACTCCGTGCCAGGTTTCTTGCGGGGCATTTGTCGAGCAACGAAGCTCCGCGTGGTCAGCGTTGACTCTCCTACCGCGGAGGAGACTGACGCGGACGACTTCGTGCAGTTACTGGAGCACTTGGAGAGTTTACCAACTTTTGAGTCGTTCGAGCTGTCTTTTTACGAAGATTGCGGGTCCTCGACCTGGCCCGAGGCCATCCTTGCTTTTCCCAACGTCTTCAACCACCTGCGCACCCTCTGATGGACCCGAGAGTTAGCCTGAGCGATTGGGCTATAGCATCGTTCCCGAGTGTGGAGGTCCTGGGTCTGGCATGCAACGACGACTACATCAATCTACCTTCCTCAGCAGAGGACCTCGGTATCATTCGCAGCACTTTCCCCGGGGTCAAAGAGCTTTTTGTTCAGTACGGAATCGAGACCTCAGCTTTGGTCGGGTTTCAATGGAATGGCCTGCAGTTCGTCGAATTGCGATGCGGGCTTGACTTGGAAGCAGAGTTGTTCCCGCTCGTTGTGCAGGCAATTGCAGCGGCCGGCACAAAAGTGCGTCTCATGGGAGGCACCGATCTTGTCTGCGTCCTGCCCTCTGGCAAAGATCGTATCGAAGGCTATCGGGCGCTCAGAAGCGAGCTGCAGTTCTGGGTGGAAATAGGTGCCGAAGTGGAAGATGCGGACAAAGCTTTCGAGGCGCTGGAGAAGTGGGAGAACTCGTGGCGGGCCGCGAGTGAGACCTAGGACAACTAGCTCGAACTCCAACAGACAAATGGTGGCGCGAGAGCTGTAGTCATGCCAACATCTTTGAACGCGGCGCTGTAGTCGCTCACGCCACCACGACCTCCACGAGCTCCGGCTCCTTCGACTCGATCGCCTCGCGCAGCGCGTCAGCCAACTCCCCCGCTTCCGTCACCCTCCGGCCCCGCATGCCGTGGCCCGCGGCCAGCGCCACAAAATCGAGCCCCGGTAGTGTGGTCCCGGGCAGCTCGTCGCCAGGCTTGAATCCAAAGACCGGTGCAAACTGGTGCAGGGCTGCATAGTTCCCGTTGTTGACGACGACCACAGTGATGGGCAGCCGCAGTTGTGCTGCATTCCACAGCGCTTGGATCGCGTACATGATGGAACCGTCGCCCACGAGCGCAACCACCTTGACGCCCGGCCGCGCGAGTGCCACGCCGACGGCGGCCGGAAGGCCGTGGCCCAGTCCGCCGCTGCACATCGTGTAGAAGGTCCCCGAGGCGAAGAAAGGCAGGTGCTTCTGCATGATCGGCCGCGAGCTCGGTGCCTCCTCAACCACGACCGAGTCCCGGCCACGCACCCTCGCCAGGGTCTGCATGAGGTATTCTGTCGGAATGGGTTGCGTGCCCGTGGGCAATGGCACCTCGGGAGGAGGTTCGGGCGCTGAAGGGGGGGTGCGCTTCGTTGGCGCAGGCCGCGCCAGCAGGTCTTCCAGTGCGAGTCGCAAGCTGGAGACCACCGAGGTCCCGACGGGTGCCCAAGCTGCCACCTGCGGATCGTCCGTGATCTGCACGAGCCGGGCGCCAGGGGGCACGTGAGGCCCGAATCCTTCGACATGGTAGGTGAATGCCGGAGCCCCGAGAACGACGATGAGGTCGTGCCCGTCCAAGAGCGCAACAATGCGCTCCCGCATCGCCGGCAGGAATCCGGCAAACAGGGAATGGCCTTCGGGGAAGCTGCAGCGTCCGCTCAGCGGGGCCGTCCAAACCCGCGCCTGGTGGCGTTCCGCGAGCGCGACCGCCTGGTCGAAGGCACCATCGCGATCGACGGCCGCCCCGACGACGAAGGCCGGCCGCAGGGAGCTGTCGAGCGCGTCTCCAATCTCTGCCAGGAGAGCGGGATCGGGCCGCAGGTGCCGGCTGACTTTGCGAGGTTCCACGGGCTCGGTCATTGCCGACCAATCATCCGCAGGAACGGAAACGAGCACCGGCCCGCGCGGCGGCGTCATGGCAAGGTGATACGCGCGCGCAATCGCAAGCGGAACGTCCTCGGCGCGCGCCGGCTCCACGCTCCACTTTACGTAAGGGCGAGGGAGCTCCGTGGCCTGCGCACTGTAGAGGAACGGGTCGAAAGGAAGAAGGGAGCGGGCCTGCTGTCCGGCCGTGACCACCATTGGGGTCTTGTTCTTGAAGGCGGTGAATATATTGCCCATCGCGTGTCCGACCCCCGCGGCGGAATGCAGGTTGACGAAGCTCGCGTTGCCGGTCGCCTGCGCGTATCCGTCCGCCATGCCGACTGCTACGCTCTCCTGGAGGCCGAGAACGTAGCGGAAATCGGCTGGCCATCCCAGGAACAGGCCGAGCTCTGTCGAGCCCGGGTTGCCGAAGACGGTGGTCATGCCGTACTGGCGCATGACGGACCACGTCGCTTCGCGGACCGTGATGAGGTCTGGCATTGGCGGAATGCTGGTATGGGTCGCAAGTTGGGAGACAGTCCGCTCGACCGGTACTCCGGCCCCGTGAATCCGATCTATGCAAAAGAATCGACCGAATGGGCGGCTCAATCTATTCAGAAGTGCTGGCATAGCGCTCAAACTCCTCCTGCCAAGGGTCGAAACCTTCTCTGCTGTGCGCACCGTATGCATCAAAGTGGACGCCTGGGACTCCAAGCCAGAAGTCTTCCTCCGCCTTGAGAGCCTGGGCCGACTCGAGCGTTTCCCAGTTCAAACACTCCCATAGGGGCTCCAGCGTGATCCGTACTCCCGATTCTTCGATCGCGGTTTTGACCGCGGGGAAGAGCATCGGATTCAGTCCCAGATAGCAGTATCGGATGGTGAGCTGCTCGAGGCAATGAAACCGAATGGAAGAGAAGTC